ATCATCTGTATGAGAGTCTACCTCAGCACCACTTTTCGGTAAAGCACGCCTATTCGGCTGGGCACAATACGCATTCCAAACCAATGTAATTCAAATGTTGAAGAGAAGAAAGTCATAAAGGTTTTAAGGAAATGAGGGGAAGTGCGAAGAATCGATTTTGAGCTAGCTAACTCATAAGTCGGAGGTAAAACTCACATTGCTGATTGGAGTTTGCCGTTCTGAAAACAACGCAGTAGTCAATTCAGAAGGGCTCTTGCTACAATTTGCGCCGAAAGATATTCTTACTTGCTCGGACTAGTGCTGTTGTGCACTCGGATGGATCAACGCATTCTCCTTTACTATTTTCCACTTTTCCTTTCGGACATTGACACTTCTTCTTGAGACATTTGTCAACCTAAATGTGATTTGATGCAATTGGAGGCTAGTACTCGGTATAACGAGTTTTTAGAAAGATTAGTTGGTATATTTCAGTCATGTTCACATTACTCATCACCATTAATATTATTAAAAACGTGTAGTTTTGACTAGTCTGTTTACAAAAAACAGAAATTTGTACAGCTCACCTCAGGACAATCTTTTTCAACGCCACATGACGGATAACATTTCCGCTCGCAGCCCAGTACTTTTCCGGAGGAGCACACTATAAAAATTTTTTTTACAAAGTTTCTTAGGAACAAACTTATTGAAGATTTTATACTTGGTAAAAGAGGGATGATTTTGTAATCCCTTGTTTTTACTACCTGATGCTACACAATACATGACCTTTGAAACTTTGAGTTACTATTGTGCAGAGACGACAATCTGCTATGGATAAATTGCTACAGTTCATTTCTTTTATGCGTGCTTTAGAGATAAACAGATTTGTACTCTACTGCTATCAAATAAATCCATAGGCAGCTATTTATCAAAGAACATCTCTTTAGTTACTGCGAAGAGTCATGCTAACCTTCTTTCTGCTCTTTAAGCACAACAGATGGAACGAGAAGCACTAGAAGAAAGCTTTGCCATAAGAACACCTG